TGGAGAAAATGCTGCTGCATAACCATGATGTCAAGAATGACGGCACATAACTCAATAATAAACACTATAAATCTACACCGAATTAGTAAAGAAGAGGTTTGAAACTGGGTGCCAAAACATGGATCCAGAATATCAATGTAGATGAAGAGGAGAGGATTGGGTGAAAATGATTGAAATGATAAAGACCGCTGGCGATTGGGATGCAAGAAGTGGCAATAAAAAAAGCTGCAAATACTCGCCAAATAGAATAGAATAAAATAGAAAAGATTACTTGAGGTTAGGTTGTACCCAATTTTAAATTTCTAAGTTATACGGTTCTTTTCCAAAAATTGCTTTTAAATCGTCAATACCAATAAATATAATAAATTTATGTAAATGACGTTAAGGAAAGATCATCCGTTATGTTAAAATTGAGTAGGCCACTCTTCTTAATTAGCTAAAGTTCTAAAGTTTTCACTACCTGTATTATCTGTGGTGTTCACCTCAATTCAGCAAAAATACAAGCTGAATGAAGAACCCACAATTACTTGGGTTGTTCTCATTTTTTGATTTTTCATAGGGAAAGTTACTTTTATTGTGTTATTTTTATTTCTTGATCAGCTACAAATTCAAATTTCCTTGATTCTTCTATTTTGGGTTATCCAGTTTCTGTTTTTGGAGTTTTTTGTTGAAGTATTTCGATTTCTTCTTATAGAGGTTTCTAGTCCACCACCTTTTATCTTTACTAACCCTATAACCAGGAGTTCATAATGAGCACGATTTTGTTATGAAGCTATTTCATCTACAATTACTTGGGTTGCTCTCATTTTTTGATCTTTCAGAGGGAAGGTTACTTTTATTGTGTTAAACTTAATGAGGTGTTAATCTAGCATTCTTGATGCAGCTTGTATTTTTGCTTCTTGATCAGCTACATATTCAAATTTCCTTGATTTTTCTATTTTTGGTTATCCAGTTTCTAATTTTAGAGTTTTTTGTTGAAGTATTCCAATTTCTTCTTATAGAGGTTCTAGTCTACTACCTTTTATCTTTATTCGTTATGAAGCTATTTTATTTACAATTACTTGGGTTGCTCTCATTTTTTGATCTTTCATAGGGAAAGTTACTTTTATTGTGTTGAACTCAATGAGGTATTAATCTTGCATTCTTGATGCAGCTTGTATTATTACTTCTTGATTAGCTACAAATTCAAATTTCCTTGATTCTTCTATTTTGGGTTATCCATTTTCTAGTTTTATAGTTTTATGTTGAAGTATTCCAATTTCTTCTTGTAGAAGTTCTAGTCTACCACCTTTTATCTTTACTAACCTTGTAACCAGGAGTTCATAATGAGCACGATCTTGTTATGAAGCTATTTCATCTACAATTACTTGGGTTGCTCTCATTTTTTGATCTTTCAGAGGGAAGGTTACTTTTGTTGCATTAAACTTAATGAGGTATTAATCTTGCAGTTTTGATGCAGCTTGTATTATTACTTCTTGATCCGCTACAAATTAAAATTTCCTTGATTCTTCTATTTTGGGTTATCCAGTTTCTAGTTTTCGAGTTTTTTGTTGAAGTATTTCGATTTCTTCTTATAGAGGTTCTAGTCTACCACCTCTTATCTTTACTAACCTTATAACCAGGAGTTCATAATGAGCACGATCTCACTTTACCTTTTCCTATCTTTGTTGTACATTATCCTGTAATTGGGTCTTCCTGTTGTATAATAAAGAGAAATATTATTATTATTAATGAGGTGTTAATCTAGCAATTTTGATGCATCTTGTTTTTTTTACTTCTTGATCAGCTACAAATTAAAATTTCCTTGATTCTTCTATTTTGGGTTATCCATTATCTAGTTTTGGAGTTTTTTATTGAAGTATTTCGATTTCTTCTTATAATATTAATATATTTGGTTTATATATATTTGTTGCTGATGTTTATAGATTTGGCTGATAATGACGAAAGTCGAAACATGTACCATGTAAATTTAAATATATTTTAAAAAGAAAAAATTTTAAAATAAATTGAGACTTTGAGGCCCATTTGGTTTTTATAATTGTTTATATTCTAATATTATAACCAGTAGTTCATAATGAGCACGATCTTGTTATGAAGCTATTTCATCTACAATTACTTGGGTTGCTCTCATTTTTTGATCTTTCAGAGCGAAGGTTAGTTTTATTGTGTTAAACTTACCACTTAAACTATATATCCCTTATTAATTTTTTAATTTGTTAAATATCCCTATTGTGACATTATTATTATTTTTTTTTCTCTTATTTTTGTTCTGAATTTATCTGAATTGTTATTAATTTTTGTTTTGTGAGTTTCACATCTCACTTTACCTTTTCTTTTCTTTGTTGTACATTATCCTGTAATTGGGTCTTCCTGTTGTATAATAAAGAGAAATATTATTATTATTATTATTAATGAGGTGTTAATCTAGCATTTTTGATGCATCTTGTATTTTGCTACTTGATCAGCTACAAATTCAAATTTCCTTGATTCTTCTATTTTGGATTATCAAGTTTCTAGTTTTAGAGTTTTTTATTGAAGTATTTCGATTTCTTCTTATAGAGATTTCTAGTCTACCACCTTTTATCTCTACTAACCTTATAACCAGGAGTTCATAATGAGCACGATCTTGTCATGAAGCTATTTAATCTACAATTACTTGGGTTGCTCTCATTTTTTGATCTTTCATAGGGAAACTCACTTTTATTGTGTTAAACTCAATGAGGTGTTAATCTAGCATTCTTGACGCAGCTTGTATTTTTACTTCCCTTCTTGATCAGCTACAAATTAAAATTTCCTTGATTCTTCTGCTTGGGTTGTCCAGTTTCTAGTTTTTGAGTCTTTTGTTGGAGTATTTACGATCTTGTTCTTTTGGCTCTACCTCTAATTCGGTAGCTTATCCATATCGGATACAGCACAATTGTATTATATGTATCCAGAAACAGTATGAGTTAAAATCTTCTAGTTTTGCTTCATTGGCAGTTTAATGCATTAATTGGTCCTTGTGGTACATACCTTTGTTGGGTCAATATTCTAGACTTTTGAGTTTTGTAACGTCTAAATAATCTTTGATAAGGAACTGCTTACTACAAAAATAATCTTTTTGATGTAATCTTATATTGAGCTATCTTAATTCAAACCATAATATAGGGAGTACTAAGTTTAGCATCTAGGTCTAATTTGTTAAAATCCTAGTAAAATATCAAAGATTTTTTCATCCCCCCCCCATAAAAAAAAAGAAACATACTTTTTTTTAAAACAAAATCACATATTTTTTCAACACCCCTATATTATTTTTTTTAAGTCTATTTCGGCTGTACCGTTGCCATAGAAGGGGGGTTGGTTGTGCGGTGGGTTGAAACCTGTCGCGAGCTCATTACCGTCCTCGGGGCGAGAGAGAGGACCCCCCCATGTTCGGCGGCAGCCATGTTGCCTTCGTTTCGCGCCCCCTTCGCCGCGTGTTTACTGAGGGGGCTACGCGCGTTCGTCGTCGGGGGTGTACAAAAGGTAGGGGTATACCGGTATAATTATTATATCGCTGACTGTTGTTTGTGTCGCCGCCCGCCCCTTGGTTCGAACTCCAAACCGACCAACCCCCCTTTCTTTTCGTATCCTACCCCCCAAGTATGAATTAGTTATAAGGGGTTCGCGAAACCATCAACATCGACACTGATGGTTTATGGTCAAGTTTTAAGATTGACAATTAAATTAGATAGGGTGGTTTTTGAAAATGTTTGTGATTTATATTAAATTGTTTTTTTATTAGATAGATATTTAATAAAATCTAATTTAATGATGGTCTTAAATTTCTCTTGACTCCTTATAGATTCGCGTCAAGTCAGGCTCCCAAGGGCTATGCTAACAGGGCAAATTAACCCGGAGGCATTTGCATCAATTAGTGTGTCGTTGCCGTCGTCGTCGTCGTCGTCGTCGTCGACGTCGTAGCGCCGTCCATTATTAACTCTTAGTTCGGGCCGGTCCAATTACAGACGTCCATCCACATCCACGACTGGTAGTTCTCCTCCGGTTTTGCGTTAATTGAAGCGATATTTAAATTGGCTACATGTAGATGCGCAAACCAAGAAAATATCGTAGCTTTTTCTTTCTCTTAAAGTGTATCCCTTTTAAAACTGTTTTGACAGTGACGATTATGGCGCCAGTGCTTTTTCTTTTTTCTTTTCTCAGATTGGAGAAAGAGGGAGAAGAAAATGTTGAAACGTCGAAACGTCAGTTTGCTTTCTCTTTAAATATATTGAGTTACATTCCCGATTTCCGTTTCCTTTTGTTATCTTGTTTTCTTTATGGTAAATTAACTGATGTGCTTGAATGGGGTTTGAACAGATGATTTTTGGTTTTATTTTAAATTTTTTTTAAATATATCTCACATATTGATCTAAATTTGAACATTTTCGGTATACATATTGAATACAAGTTATGATAAATTAATGTCCAATTTCTAAGTGAATTATGACGTGGTGATAAATGGTAATCGTGACGCGTATTAATTGGGGACAATGTTGGGAGAGCGTCGCGACGTCGGGCGTCGGCAAATCTCTCCCTCCATCTACATTTGTATGTCTCCTCATTTGTGTACGATTCGATTAGGTTAATGTCCCGAATGAACAAGCGTTTTAGTGTTGATGGGATTTGCAATCGATTGTGTGTAAATGTTACATACACACGAGATTTTTACCTTTTTTTTTTAATTTAAAGAATGTCCTTGTTATTTTATATTTAAAAGGATTTTTTCTTCATCTCTTTTTCTTGCGGCACACATCCGAACTACTTACTAAAGGGCGTAGTTGTTGGAGCCTTTCGGTTTGGGGAACATAAAACGTGTTATTTTGACCGACAGTTGAATAGGGCTACCGTCAAAAGAACGGGCTAGTTTTAACACTCGGTACAATCGGCAGCAGCCATTATACACACCACACCTCGCGGAGCTTGATGACGACGAAGAAAAGACAAAGGCGTTTCATACACACACGGAGAGAAAGACTCACCCGTTAGACAGGATCCTGGCGTTGTGGTTCCGAATGTCTTCAGTTGAGAGAATCCTGTAAATCAAAAGACATGAAAATAAGATAACAAAGAAAAACTGTTTTGGTAAAGCGAAATGATAAATTGTTTATTAGTATCTTCTTGATAAAATCTGCGTTGAAAAAAAAATAAGCTTGACGCACTGAAGTGCGAAGCAGTGAGGAGGATTCTTAAAATGTCAGCAAAAATTTATAAGTGATTTCATTATGTATGGAAAGTGGAGGAACGATAATTTCGATCAATACCTTTACAGATCTTTTCTTTATCTGACGTTTCGGAAATGATATTATCTCAATTTGTGTCTAAAAATATTGTGTTAAGTTGTTTTCATTCTTTGTTCTTAAGGTACCCTTTAACAACACAACGTAAATGGCTTGCATTTCTAAACTGTTAAATTTTTAACCTTATCTTAATATGACTACTTTGAACTGAATCAAACAACTTCTCACATTGGCTTAAGTAAATCTCCCTTGATTGGGAAGGGGTGAATAATGCTACAGGAAACCAGCAAGTTCTTACTTGTGGAGGGTATTTAATTAAATCTGTAATAATACTGTAATGAACCCAAGTTCTTGTATTTACTTATGTCCACACCATAATTATTAAAACAAAAAAGTGGCTGGTTACTATGAAGAGTTAGAAATTTGAGTAGCACGTAATAACTAAGATTAATGCAACAAGTGTAGCCTTTGTTCTTCTTTTACGTTCTTATTTGTATGGATTTATAAGCTTATATCCGATATTTTATACTTACATTGAAGACGTGTATTTCGGCTAACCTCAATTCTTTAGATTTCATCAAAATAAACATTCTTCGACTTTTTTTGTGGTGGTTGCAGTGGACAGAGTACGAATTTCCATGTGGTTCATGCATTGTATTATTGGCTATTACGTTAATTACCCACGAGGAAATTCGCATTACGTTTTCAGTCAAGAGTTATGAAAACTACTTTCAACAATGTTACAATTGTGTTGTACAATTTCGCCTTACTTGTGTCATATCTTTTTTGGTGTATCCAGTTTTCAATCTTTCCTGAATAATGGAAATTTGCTGTAGTTATACTTACTGCAAAAGTAAATAATCCCAAAGAGTTAAATGATTCGAGGCCTATAAGCATTCAACATCAATTTTATCTCAAAAACAACCACGACGTTATTGGATGATAAACTAGCTGCTGATACCCTGCTTGCTTTATTGCACCATGTCGAGTGTATAATATGCAATAATTTGCAATGAAAATGCTCGACAATCAGTAAGAGAATATCAAGAAAGATTTCCACATCGTCATTTTCCAAATTATTCAGTTTCTAGCGATTCTTTCAGAAGACTTCGAGAAACAGGTAATCCTGCTCCAGCAAAAGCTATTCGACCGCATGTAGTTAATGTAGAGGACGAAGAAGCTGTAATTAATAATCCTTCCAAGAACAGTTCTTTCATCATAACATAAATAAACATTCTACGCAGAACATTTTGAGTAGGGTCTAGCTTTGGCAGAACAATTTTCACAACTTCCTCTTTCTTTTGAACTTGCGCTACGACATTTTCGTAGACGCAGTAAACTTGAATATTTATTTATCAGAACTGTATCTACAGAACGACGAAAATCTGATAGAATATTGAGCAAAAACTAACATTCTCACATAATCTAAGTGTCAAAAAAGATGCTAATTCAAAAATTCTTGGAAGCCGTATTTATTGAAATTAAGAAATGAAACTTATTTTAAATTGAAGCTTAAAGCTTTCTCTTTAAAAAGATGTATAATAATGGTTGTGTTGGATCACAAAAATGTGGAGAAAAAAAATGTTGAAATTAAACTTACATTTTCGTGTAACCTAAAAATGTCAAAAAGATGCTAATTTAAAAATTCCTGGAAGTCGTGTTTATTGAAATTAAGGAATGAAACTTATTATAAATTAAAGCTCAAAGCTTTCTCTTTAAAATGATGTATAATAATTGTTGGGTTGGATTGGAAAAATATTGAGAAAAAAAATGTTGAAACAAAACTTACATTTTCGTATAACCTAAAAGTGTCAAAAAAGATGCTAATTTAAAAATTCCTGGAAGCCGTATTTATTGAAATTAAGGAATGAGACTTATTCTAAATTAAAGATCAAAGCTTTCTCTTTAAAATGATGTATAATAATTGTTCGGTTGGATAAGAAAAATATTGAGAAAAAAACTATTGACATAAAATTTACATTTTCGTATAACAGTGTCAAAAAAGATGCTGATTATATAATTGAGGAAACATGTTTCTGTAAAACCAAGAAAAGCCTGTGCCACCACTTCTTGGAACAGCGGTCGATTGCATACACTTGTCGAAGTTGATCTGCATGATCTACCGAACGCAGTAGTTGAAGGACAATCCTTTCACCTAATCCATAAGTTTGAAGTTTTTCTTCAGTTTCAGGAGATTTTCCCTCATACACATCAAATTTCTATATGTACCCTTTCTTATCTGCTAAGCACCAGAACTTATAACCCCTTTTTATGGGCTTCATGAGATTGAATTGTTTCATACTTCACCTCTCTTTGAAGACTATCACGGATTCGTCCACAGCCAACTGCCTAGTGCTATGTTAATAACTGGAAAACTGTGTTTCAAAATACGGGCGGATCTTGTATACTTTATTCGAATTATTCTTAGAATGTTATCATTGACATGCAGGTATGATAAAATCTCCTGAAACCTGTTACGGGTCATTGTTCGTATGACAAGTGTTACATCCAAGTCTTTAGCATTACTCCAGAAGAGTTTATAGCTTGAAAAACTGTGATAACTCATTAAGAAATGTATCCCAATATTTTCTTTCAAGTTTAGCATTTTATTCCTTTGGGTGGCATACAAATTACTTTGAAAGGTCATATCCTTCACACAGTTGCCCATCGGTGTTAGAAAATAATCTGTAGGATTAATAAAGTATCACCTCTGGATAATGGTATTCTGGAATTTCAGTCTGTTTTTCCCGTTTTCTGCATTTTCTATTAATTTCTGCCTTGTTCTTCTTGTTAGACCCTTTGCCACGTATTTCTACTACTTCAGTGTCACTTTCCTCATTTTCATTATTTACTTGTTCTACTTCTTCATCTTCCAGCATAGGTACCCCACTAGCACTAGTAATAACAATGTCATCTTCTTCACCTTCTATTTCTCAATCTCAATATTGTACCTGTTCTTAGCGGTACTTTTTTGTACAAAATGTAACTTTTTTCGGGATAAAAATAAGAAATGTTTGAAAAATGAAACAAATCACACCTAATAACAAAAATCAAAGAGATACCTTTTTGAACAACAAAATTCAACACCACCACTTTTCACTAAACTTCTAACCTCTCATCTGGATGAATAAGTTTAAATATACCTAAAAACCCTACAGTGCGGATTGCGTCATTTTTTATACAGATTCTTTCTTGTATAGTAGAAAGTACCGACAGCTCTAAATGCACCGAATAGATGACTACAATTTAAAATGAGTGTTTAAAACTACCGGTACTTTAAAATACCGTCGGGACACAAAGGGTTAAAAAAATGTTGCAGTTAATTATGATATAAAAATTAAAAATTAAAGTGTTATAATTTCGTAAATAATTGAATTTAATTTAATTTAATTTTTTTATAATTCGATTAGCTATCATATGTCAAAGTTTGATGGTGAGCTAATAAATCACCCTGTATATGTTGTCATATTTATATATTATCACTTTTTAATTTCGGCGATGTACTTTATCACCCCGGTCTAGATAGTATGGATACGTGCAGAATACAGAGAACACAAAATGTATATCCGGTCTTCGAGGCCGAATTAGGGTGTCTCACACTTTACAGTGTGTACTTGACTCGTCTCTTTTTGACAATCCTTAGCATTAATGATTTTTTATATAATTTTGTATTGCTTATAAGATTGTCAATAAAGATTTATTATTATTATTATTTCGCAATGAAACATTCTACGTAGTTTGAAAAAAAAAAAGAAATCTAAGCAAAATCGGAGCCAAACTTACAAGACGTTAAAAGGTTAGATGATACAAAGAGATACACTAAGGAACTGTTACATGCAGGATCAAATGTAAATGGTTGTCTTTTCTGCGCTTCGCTAGCCTTTATGGTCAGGTGTTCTTTCTTCACTTCTAGTGATAATTGCTATGTTATCGGCATTGGTGCATACAGAATAGCCGGCAGCGCATCACCCTGCAGCACTCCAGTACCTGCCAAGGTTGCTTCTACTAATTTGACATATGTCATCGGATATGTCACAGGAGGAGGTTTTTTAAAATTTCCTGCCTTATAACACTATCGAAGGCTGGTCGAAAGTTTAGATCTAACATTTGTAAATCTATGTTCTATGTCGCTAATTTATTCCATCTTGTATTATTTGGTCGTTAATCTTTCTTTGCTATTCAGTGTTTCATTTTAACTCCCACCAAATAGTGATCTGAGTTACAGTTTGCTTCTCGGAATGAACAGATGGTCTCTTTGATTGCTTTTATTTGTGCCCGGTATTCGCCACGATACTTTATGTGTATTTCACTTTGAGAACAAGGTGCTCATGACATTCAAAATTGTGCAACTTTGAGTCCGTTAATACTTGTCTCTTCATAGAGGCTGTGCATCCAAAAAAATATCTGTCGAGTTTCTAAGAAAGATTCAAAGTTCCTAGCTTCAGTTTGTATATTGACTTATTTATCAACTAGAAATGTATCATTTTCCATACTAAAGATTTATTTGATGCAGTTCTAATTCAGTTCTTTTTTGTGATTTAAGCTGCATGGTCTATTTCTCTTTGGGGCAGCAACATAAACATATCAACCCAAGTATTTTTTGTGTATGCGAGACTGCAGAACTTGTAGGACATATTGGTTGCAGTAAATTTAGGCGAATCAAACCTATTAATTCAAACATATTATCTGAGATTTCAAACATACGGAGTGTCAATGTCATTTTACCCAACCTAACCCAACTCATTAAATAATTAAACTATGTTCAATGATTTGATGAATTTTTTTTCCTTCCTCAG